AGAATTGCATGCTCAAAAAAAAGTCACCGAAAAACAAAAATTCTTGGCGCAGCTTAAAATTGACTTCTTTTTGCTTTTCAGTCGGAAATGATATTTATTTATAGGAAAATGTCTTAGGAAATTACACTTGAAATTAAAACGCAAATTTCTCTTTTGTGCTGTTTTCTTAAAAAAAATTCTAAAAACACAAAACGAAGAAGATTCTGTCGTTGTAAAAATATTCTCAAGTGTCACCTTGTCGGGAGTATTTTAAGGAAAATAATTTAGAATTAAAGAAAAGAAAAGTGTGAGAAAAATTTGATTATTTTTTTTTGGTTGGTGTGTCTTTTGTGGGAACATAACAGGTTACTGATTGACGATTTATTTTCATTTCTTTATTTTTTTGTGTGTGAGAAAATAATTCTTATGTCATTTCGATTAAATTAATGGGAATTTTGTGTGCCAAAATTTGTAAGGAGTTTGAGAAAGATTCGAGATTCAAAGTTTTTTTTGAGGATTAGGTTCTTAAATGAGGTGTAGATTTATGATAGAAGTAGCCTTGCTGAACGAGAATCAGACCTGAATAGCACATGCTCTGGCGTAACTCTGACATGGTGCTGGAATCAAATCGAATCCAGAACCATGATAAACTCCAGCTTGACACTGGATTTTTATTCGATTAACCGATTTGTGCTATTCGCGAGGGTATTTTAAGTTTTGTATTTCTTAGGTTGTCTAGTAAAAATGAAGCACTTGAAGGCGCGATGAGATCCACAGAACAGAGACTTGATTCAATTTAAATAAGGACTATTAGTCGTTCACTTATTACGTCCGATATTAACGGTCATTTTTCAAAAAATAACAATTGATTTCCAGGAATTTCTATTGTTCTTTTCTTACTGACCCGCCCGGATGTCAAAAGTGAACGGCCTTTAACCTTAATTTTTAAGTGGGATCTGAATTTTTTTGGCATTTTAAAAGTTCACTCTAGGACTAATGTTTGAACCTTCTTGGATCGCTCTTATCTAAACCCATGTACTATTCCTTATGACTCTGATATTGCCATTGTTTTTTAAGCCTCATATCGACAATATCCTTACTTACTTCTCTGGAATAGATCAATTGTGATCCTTGGGCTCCTTTAGATGACGCCTGAAGCCGGCTCTATCGCAGGCTACTGCTTACCAGTTACCAATACCAAGTGTAATACTGTCTCTGTCTACAGCTTCTCTCCAAGAGTTCTTGGGACGTCCACATGCTTTATTGCTCTCTCAACATACTTCATGAAAAAAATGCAATGAATCCCCAAAAAAAACCTTGAAACAATTCTCAAATTTCAATTCAAATCAACAACCAATCAGCACAGTCACAAGCCATCACAACATCAGTACTATCAATACCATCATCATCCCTATCAATAACTAGGTCAAATGAATTCCTTTATCTCATTTATTCGAATCTAAATCAACAAAACAAAATTCCCTTTGAAACTTAATCCACCTGCATGCTTATTTAAATTTTTTAAAATTCCAATTTTTAATGTGAAATTCCACACAAAATCAAATTAGGGGTCGTTCACTAATGACGTCCATCAAAAAACATGATTTTTAGACCCCTCCCCCTGTCACAAAAATTATATAGAAAAAAATTTCCATTATTTGAACTGTCACAAAATTCTAGACCCCCCTCCCCCCTAAATGTCGGACGTCATAAGTGAACGGTTCCTTGTTCTATCTTTTGTTCTATTTTTTGCGTAAACAATTAAAAATTCTTGACGACTTGTAACTTTTGTATGTTTCACATGAGGAAATCTAATGATCACAATAATTAATGAGCTGTAATAAAATTAAAATTTATAATAATAATACTTAATCTACTATAAAAATTCACTCGAGATATGATAAATTTTAATTTCATGTTAATGTTGTTGTGGCGCATAATTAGTCAGCATGTAACATAACCACAACAATAAAGAATCTTTCCAGCATTTCCAGACTCGTCGATTTCCGGTAAATGAAGTCAAATGCAAATTTCCATCAAGTGCCTGCATAACACGTATCAATAATGTTTGACAACAACACAATAAAGTAAAAAATTTCACGCATGGCTTCATTGTATCCAGGAAGAGTAAGCAGCATGGTATTGTTAAATGTGCTATTCGTCCTTCAACCAATTCTCTTTTGTTCTTGCGTAGCTTATTTTATTTATATTTTGAATACATAATGACTAATAGGCAATTTGATAACTTAATAAATTAACATAATGTTGACCTAATTCACCGAATAACAAAACGAATGAAAATAAAGACAAGACACAGTAAGAATGTGTGTTTGTGTGCTTTTTTTGGGAATAACTCAGGGTGCCATAAACGCGAAAAAATAAATTATATATGAACGAAATATTTTTTTTTGTGCACATTGTGTATTCCTAATGAGAACTTCCGACACACGAAAATAATGAGATAAGTAAGGCAATTTTTGAGTTGAGTGGATAGAGCGCATTGGTGGTTTTTATACTTTTTAAATGCTCATACACTTAAACAGAGCTTTCAAGCTTATGACTCAAATGTGAGATAAAGCTGGGATTAAGCTATGATCTTGTGGTGTGTCATAGAACATAGTTTGAGAACCACTGCACTAGTAGTTTAACATATCAATTTAGTTTATTCTTTGGTGGTAAGTCTGGCTAGTTTTGATAGATGTCAACCTAAGATTTAACCTCTTTAGATGCTTCCATCCCTTAAAATTACTTCAATTTAACTTTTTATGAATCAAAATGAATTTATCAGCTGCATCTATACCCCCATATCCCCCTCATATTCTCGAAATACTCGCTATTTCAAAAAGTTATTTTGTTATTCTTTCGTTCTTCTCTCCACATTTCGAGAACATTAAAAAAATGTGCGGGCTGACGATCATGTGTCGCTCGAGCGGAAGTATTTGATGAGTTTATGTAAAAATATTATTTTACTTGGGCTTTCAATGTAAGATTGTCCAGAACCATTGTTTGTTAAATTAATTGACATAAAACACACGCAGTACGGTGTTAATTTAATTCTCCAATTTATTTTTTTTCCTCCTCTTCCGAGCAATTGTTGTTGCTGGCGCTGCTAATCCTCACTAAAATGTGCCATTATTTGACACAGTCAGTGGAATGGAAAATTATTCCGCAACTTACTGGCAAATTTTTTGTTTAATTTATTAATGTAAACAATATAAAAATCATATAGCTTCATGAGCAGTCTTAATGGTGTAACTACACATGTATCACTTGATTAATTGACATTGAGAACGAATCTTTTACTGAATGGAAAATTAAATTAAATTAAGATAGTATAATGAATGATCTGAACTTAACGAATGTGTGCGATTCATACTTATTTCATTGTTGATTTTCATTTTTCTTGTTTTTAAACCCAGCTGGAAATCTACTGGAAATATTATGAGTTTATCTTAAAGCAGTGATGGTCAACCAATGTGCCGCGGCACACTAGTTTGTCAGAAACCAAGCGAACCATGTGTTTGTGAGGATTCTGCAATAGCTTACTCACAATGTGTACCGCGGCACAAAAAAGGTTTTCCACTACTGTCTTGAAGAGATGGTTTCAATTTTACAAGGATAGTCTTAATATTAAAGGGATAATCTTAAGAAGATGGTATCGATCTTAAAGGAATGGTCTGGACTATTTTAGTTTACACTATCCTAATGTGTTATTCTAATGAAGACAACCTCAATCGTATCTTCAAACTGGGAACCAATAGACAAAACTTTATTTTCAACTAGTCATTCAAGCTGTCCACTTGAGAACCGTAGAAAATTTTTTTATTTCTTCTTTGATATTTAAACGGAATTCTTTTCTTCAGCTAATAAGCTTGAGTATTTCTTTTTTTTATATATTTTATTACTTAATGTCGAAAATATATAAATATTTGGAAAAAAAAGTCATAAATTTGTAATTGGAACACACACAAAAGTAGTCACAATAACAACATCTGACTTGCCAAATATATATAAAAATGCTTGACTTCTTCTCCAGCAGATGTTTTTAATTTTCTTTTCCGAAAATTGAATTTTTTTTCTTCATTTATCATTCAACACAGCACAGAAGCAAGAAATTTCTGAAAAAAGAAAATTTTTCTGGAGCCGACACAACAAAACACAAATAAAAATTTTTCAATGAAAATTGGGTGGAAATTTTTCACATTTTAATGAATAAAAAAAACAGTTGATTTATTGACATTGATCTCAACCCATAGTCAATTTAATTTTTGTTTTATTTATGAATTTAATTTTTTTTAATTCTTCTTCTTCTTAATGGATTTGAGGAGCATGTGGATTGTAAATTGGGTGATGAATCTTAACTTGAAGTGTATTTTTGGAAACCTGATGGATTTTAATTTTCGGATGGTTGAGTATGAATTAATTGGCTTCAAAGATGATATTTTCCTTAATGGCACAAGTCGGTTAATCGATTGGAAATCCGGCACTAAGCCGGTGTAAAACTTGCATGGTGCTGGATATAAATCGAAGTCTTTCAGCATGGTGGTGGTTTTGCATAGTTTTGGGTCTTGTCGATCAAAGTTTGGACAATTTAAAACGAATGGTCAAACAACACATCTATGAAAAGTTGTTCGAACATAGTAAGATCATCAGGTATCGTGTCATACTTAGTCAAATCGACGATACAAGATATAGTCTTCAGGTATCGAGTTGAATACCAATCTACCCACAAACTCCCTTTTTGTTAAGTATATCTCAAATATTCTTAAGAGGTCCAACATTTTCATGACTTCAGAAGAGTCTATGCAGTTTTGGAATATACCCAACCTCCTCCTAGCTCTACCTTATGCCATTATTCCTCTGCAATACCAAACCCCACGATTTTTTTTTCATTCCCTTAAACCTCAAATCCTCAACTCCCAAAAAATTTCACAATTCCTATCATCCCATCAAAAATTATTGACGAAAACTTAATGACCTATATTTATCAACTTCCTTGCCAAACCACATGCCATATTACTGCTGCATCGTATTTCTATTTATTAAATAATTATATAACATACAATATATTTTTATAACATATTCAAATTACATTTGTAAACCAATAAATTCATCATGTCAAATAAAATTTCACTTCCTTCAGCTGGAGCATGGTCTGGTGCTTAATTCTAAGTACATTTCGATGGCTTTCTCAAATTTGGCATTCAGTTTTTTGATGTCACAAATATCTTCTTCGTAATAAGGCTTTTTAGAAGTTGTTGTAGTGGAAAATTTAGGATATTCTGTTGTGCTGGAATTTTCAGGGGATATTGTTGTTGTTGTGTAGCAGATTGTTGTGGAAAATGGTGTTGTTGTTGTATAACTTTCTTGTGTTGAAGGAACTGGAGGTGTGCTTGATGTTGTGGGTTCAGCTTGAGTTGTTGACTGTTTAGGAGCTTTTGATGTTGAAGATAAGGAAGTTGACGGAGTAATTGATGCAGATGTTGAAGCAGCAGCAGTTGATGAAGGAACCGCAGTAGAACTTGATGAAATTTCATCCAAAACACCTCTTGTTGTAGCATCAACTTCAATATCACGAGTAGTGTATATTGAAGGTTCTGTTATAAACTCAATTGTTGTTTGTTCAGACGTTTCTGTTGTATATTCCATGGATGTCTCAGTAGTTTCTTGCATCCATGAATCTGTTGTCAAAGTTTCAGAAATATTTGTAGCGTCATCAGTTGTTGGCTCTACTGAGTAAGTTGGTGGAAATTCCTCAATATTACTTGATGAAGCTTCTGTTGATGGTTCTGTAGACCAACTTTCTGTAAACTGTTCATTATTTTCTGTAGTAAAATCAACTGACAAATCATTATCTTTGTTCTCTACTATAGAGTCTGTATAGATTATTCCAGGATAAGTAGAGTAAGCTTCAGTAACTGTTGTTGTAGGCACATATTCCGGACAACTTAACATCAATTTGTTAATAAATGAACTTAAAGTTGTATCCAAACCACCTCCATTAATACACACATTACTATTCATTGTCACTTGCTTCAAACTATTTAATCCATTGAACAATCCTCTTCCAATATTTTTAATCTTATTCCTGTTGAAATTCACATAAATTAAATTTAAATTATTCATGAAGAAATCTCCAGGAATGTTTGTAATTAGTGATCCATAAATGACTATCCATTTCAGATCATGATAATCTGACAAGTCAAAGCTTCCGAGTTCCTCAATTTGACAGCTAAAGAAGCGAATTGCGATAAAATTCTTAAATATTTTGTGAATTGCTTGAGGAATAAATTTCAATTTTTGACAATTTTCAAAGCTTACAACCTTTACATCGTCATTAGTTCCATTCACTTCATGATTTCCTTGAAAACTTTCAACAGTTTTATTTGATGTAAGCTCTTTAGGCTCCGCTATACACGAATATAAACTTCCAATATAAGCCCATCCTTTTGTTTCGTATTTACAGTCAAAAGAAGTTCCACAAACTGACGCAATAAAAGCAAGAAGAAGAACTTTTCTCAGCATTTTATTGAATTGATTCCAAAGAGTAAAAAAATGTGTGAACAAATCCGGTAGCTGGAATATTAATGAAATCAATTAAAAATTCATGAGATTGTTTTATAAGCAGTAGCATTATTTACATACTAATTAAGATAAAAATGGACGATAAGAGGACTTATTGATAAGATAATAGTCGATGACACTAAGTCTATTTATATTTGTAATGTTCAATTGTTTTTTCGCACTTTAACTCGGTTCTTTTTTTTAGGATTCTTATCAGACAAATGAGCAAATTTTCTTAATTATTGAAGCATGAAGTTTTAGTGATAAATTTCAATGATGGCAATTAATATCGTTCGAATTATATGTGTCATATTGAAATGTGAGATTGATTGATAGTCAAATGTGATACTAAGTATCGATTGGAGTTATTGAACTGCATTGTTGATCGATATGGAAGATTGCATTACAGATAAATGAATTGTAAGACTAGGACAGGGCAATTCGATTTTTGTGAGGACAAAATGCAATCTAGAGGGTGTTTAGATCCCTATTGATATTCGTTTTGGTTAAGCACATATAAAACTTTACGCTTTGACGAAACAGGAGTCCATTGCCGATGATATAGGCAAAATGTAATGTAGCTGGATTGGTCACACGTTGAGGAAAGACCTTCCTGATATAACACGTCAAACTGTGTTCTGGAATCCACCGGGTAGGCAAAAACTTGGTGCTACTTGGTAATCGTCTGTTTGTAAAGAAGCGGCTCAGCAAGGCTATCAACTAAGTAAGCTTGCAACATTAGCTATTAATCGCGTTAGATTCAAAAGTTTCATAAGCACCCTACACGTCACAGTAGTGTAAAAGGACATCATTATAATCACATATGAAAATCCACTTGTAGTGTGAAATTTAGACAAATGGATAGAGCCCATCCTAACCCTAATAATTCTCACATGTTAATTAACTTAAAAAATTCCCTGAATCGAGATCACTAGTTCAAAATCAACGTCAATGACTATAATAATTCAAGATTATTTATTACAACTTCACCAAAAAAATCTCCATCCAAATGAAAATTATTCAATAAAAATTTTCCAAAGCAGAATAAAAAGAATTTGTCTTGACTTAAAATTCATAAATCATTTCCAGAGCGTTACGAAATCGTCTTCACACATCTTTTTCACCCGGTCGACGATGAGCACAAAATAAGTTTAAAGAGAAATTCATTTTTATTATTATTTCATGCCATGATTTTTGGTTGTTTGTTAAAGACACTCAAAATGAATTATTTACATTTTCATTTTTCATACAAGAATATTTTCATCTGCGTCGCATGTGTGTGACCACATTTTCCAATTATCGTATTATGCATCGTCATCGTTGTCATTAAGATGATCGTTAATTTTTTTGGAAATCCAATGGTTTCACACGTATTTTATGGGCTATGAATTTTTGGATGATGTTAGGATTCATTGTGATACTAATGATACAGAAATTTGTAAGCCAAGGTAAGTCATAATTCTCAGCCATCATTTCGAATCTATAGGATCAATTTTACATAATAATTGCATATATCATCAAAAAATCTCAAATGAACCAAAACCAAAGCTTGACCAAATCATCAAAAAATTGATCACAATGATTATCATCCATAAATAGGCTGAGCAGCTGCGCGCTTTTGAGTGGGACAATCCTGCTTTTTTGCACATAATATCCTTATAGTCCTGCATATTTGAACCTACAAATTTTTCTTAGAAAATGCTTGAAAATTTGGTCTGTCCTGCTATTTTTGAGCTGAAATCGCGACATGTCCCGCTTGGAATCGGCAAAAACCGATGAACATCCCATCAATAAACGTACACCCACAAATGACCGTATCCATCAACAACAACTTTTCTTCCTCAAAAAATATCCACAAGAGAAAAAAATTACAACAACTTGCATATTCATTATCATCATCATTATTATTCTTCATGCACTACATACGGATATGCACAAAAGAATTCATCAGTCTGATACAACAATTGTGTATGTAATTATATATATATATTTTTTTTCGGCATAAATAAAATGTAGAGAAAGAGAGGAAAAAGAAAGAATTTAAAAAATACATTAAAAAGCTGCAAAAGCCGTACATGGTAACAAGCAATTTTTGTTTCGAGAATGAAAAAGAAAGAAGGAGGAAGAATGAGAATATATGAAATTTTCAGGGAGTGGGCAGTCATTCAATTTAGTTTTGTTCTGTTGTTCTGCAGATTTGACACGTTAGACCCCAAAATAGCTTTGAAGTTTAGTTTCTGGGATTTATTTTTTCAATTTTAGAATTTATGGCTTGGGTATCCCCAAAATTCACCAATCTGAGGAGAAACTTCAATTTTAAATACCAAAACCCTCTCATACCCCAAAAGTTGCCTATCCCTTGACACCCCTCCCTCGTTTTACAAACAAAATTACCCAGAACCAGAAAATGTGTTAGCGAGCATAAATTCTCTGTTCCTCATTTCATTTAAAATGCACACACAATAAAGAGAATTTTTTTTTATGTAGGTGCATCAACAGAACAGACTCATACATGTTATTTGACCGTGAAAAGTTTTTTTTTCATACATTTTTAACGAAACGATGCATAAAAGCTGCAAGAAGAAGGCACATCATGCGCTGATCTACAAATGCAATTTGAAAAACACACACAAACACAACACGTGTGCAGTGGCAACAGAGCGATTACACAATGTTAAGTAATAGGCTGTTTTTACTTTCGCTTCTGTTGTGTGACTCATGCAACTGTTGTCGTCATGTTGTACTCATGTTGCGTACGAAGGGGAAAATTTTTTATGTTTCATGCTTTTTTTCTATGTACATGATTTTTCCACATGAAAACCGGGCATTATTGCCAAATGCATTATGTGTCTGAAATTCTTTTATGTTCTTCATGCTTCAATGTGAATGTATGTGAATACTTTTTTTCCAATTGTTCTACAATTCTCCTTCACTTGCCCTACGAAAAATTGCCATAAAGCAGAATGTTGGAACACACGAAAAAAAAATTATATATTTTTTGGTATGAAACCAAGTGAACGAGAACAAAAGGAGAGGAAAGAAAAATTGGGCGATTAAAAAAATGCAAATTTGTAATATTTTATTTTTATTTTCGGTTTTGGTAAAGAAGAATTGCGTGGAAGTCACGATTTAATGAGATTTCTTAATAAGCAAACCAAAAGCATGAACATTTAAGAATGATTTTTGGAGCAGTGTTGGATTTTTGGGGGGATTTGATTCTCAGTGATGTTACAGACTAGATTAGGGATGACTTAGCTCATCGTTGGGTTCATAATGGACTCATAGAGGTTTGATGGAGTGCCGGTCAGGAGTCTAGAAGATTTTTTGAATTTATGGGAATTTATTAAAATCTATCAAATTTTTTTAAGAGCTTGGAAACCGTCAAAGACCAGCTTATCTAGAATGTTAAAGTTGTCAAGAATATTCTCCAATTTTCCATAGAACTCGATCAAATTTCTATGCTGTTTAAGAATTTTACACCCCTCCTTAAAATCAACCTGACTCCCAACTCACCATTTCACAAGAGATATGAGCATACTTATCGCTATGGAAATCATTCATACAATAATAAATTACTAATGCACCTCAGGCTGTAGGTGAAGTTTACGAAATAATTTTCCCTTGTTTTGTGCATGCATTTTTTGTGGATATTTAAGTGCCTTTTTTTTATTTTTCGAGAACGAACAAGAAAAAAATTAAATAAAAATTTATTATGCAAATTTCTCTTTTTTAAAGTGAGTGAGATAGAGACAGAGACAGAATGTGTGAGACATGCACAAACACATAATGAGAAATATGGCGACGCAACGAACAAATGCCGGCTAAATTGCTTTTTGTTTTGATTGTAAATAAATAGAATTGTGTGTGCTTTTTTTCTGCACAACGAGTGCTAAGGCTGTGTGCGTTTGAAAATAATGAATATTTTTTATTTTATTTACTTATTTCGGAACTTTATGGAGATGCAGTTTTGATGTTCTTTTTATGTGATGCATTTTAATAGGATTTAATAAACGTTGAGTTTGTAATAAAATTATTTTATTTAATTTTTGGAGTTTATAGCTTCAAATGATAGGGTTGCAGTCAAAAATGAATTTGCTAGCCTCAGAAATTTTACAAATAATCAGGAAGACTTTTTGAATGCAGTTAAAATTTAAAAATAATAAACCTGAAAATTTGCCATTCAAGAATCTTCAAGATCATTTCAATGCTAGAAAATTCGCAAATTCTTTCCTTACTTTTGACATTTACTATGTTTATATATAAGTCGACTGCATCAAAATAAATACAGCAGTAAAATTTGAATTTTTGATGTTTATCTCAATGAATCTGTTATAAAAAATTCTATTCATAGAATTTGGCAATTAAACTATTATTGTTTCCATAATAAAATTAAATGTCAGGTCGTCGATGAGAGTTGATGATTTTTTGGTTTTTTTTTATTTTTTTGGCATTTAAATCTTTTTTTTTTGATGGAACATTTGAGTGACTTGGTGCAAATTTGTATCCAAATTTAAATGAATTTTAGGGAGCACTTCATTGAAAAAATGTTTAAAAATTTTAAATAGTCCATAATTGACTTAATTTATGATCGATCCCCTGAAGCTCAAATTTTAAAACATTTTTAAAACTTTTTCATTCTCAAAGGTAGTAATAATCAACATATTATTCATTAAGCTCGCTAAGTGACCCTCCAAGCACTTCCCTACCGACTTTGTTCTATGCAAATTTTCCCATACCAAATGGCATAAAAGCATTTTTTTTCTTTTTCATTTCCTCTCAGTGCAAATATGCTAATTAGAATGAGCTGAAAATAGCCAGATTTTTAAAAATACAGGCTTGTGAATGAGAATAAATGTTAATTAAGATTTTTATTATTGAAATGAACTTTCTGTTGAATCACACGACGTAAATTAAGCAGACTGCATGTTCTTAAGAACTTGTTTAATTTTCTATCAGATTAAAATCATTAAAAAACG